CCCCCCCCCCAAAAGGATCTATTTCTCCGTCGAGACAGAAGAGTTAGAAGAATTAAAATGTTAAGATGACTTGCGGCTTCTGCTGTAACCGATGACGATGAGACCAATTCTGACAGAGAAAGGTTTGCCACATTTTGAATATTTAAAACTCCACTTCCGCTTGTGAGTGTGCGCAGCTTGCGGGCTTCTCTCTTGGTTTAAGCTTTTCTCATTCGTGAAGCCTCATATGATTTGCTGCCCACTGTGACTGCATTTCTCCAGCTGGGTCTGTCGGAAGCTACGCTGTCCCACGTTAAAGTATTTATGTCAAACCCTTCAGAGCCATTTTCAAGGTGTCTTTGTGGCGCTTTTTGTTTTGGTGTGCAACCTTGCGCTTCCCTGAGTACAGTTCAGAATAAAGCACTGCCTTTGGGATTCTGGAGAGAGGCATTCTGACAACATAGCCATGCCAGCGAGGTTGATTTCTTTTGAGCTTAGAAAACAGACTTTCGGCATTTGCCCTTTTTGAGAACTTCGGTGTCTGATATTTTATCCTGACATGTGATGCCAAGAATTCTCCCGAGGCATTTCGTAAGGAAATGATTAAGCTTCTTGGGGTGGCTTTGGTACACCGTCCAGGTCTCGGCATCATACAACATGGTTGGAAGGACCACAGCATTGTAGACTATTAACTTTGTGTTTGTGCGAATGCCACAGTAGTTCCAAACCTTTGCTCTGAGTTTTCCAAAGGATGAATTAGCTTTATTCATACGTAAAGCCATTTCTGTATCGATACGAGCTTTTGCAGATAGAGTTCTGCCAAAATATTTAAAGCTATCAAGCAAAGCTGTGGCTGTTTTGGAGCAGAAGCCACACTGACTTTCCGGTAAGGTGTCATTTGAAGAGAAATGCTTCAACAGGCGATTGAGAAGATTTCGGGCCAGACCTTGCCAGCTATAGACAAGAAGGATATGCCTCAGCGATTGTCACAAAATTGCCTGTCACTTTTGTTTCTGTATAGTTGAATGATAGTTGCATCCCTGTAGCCTCGTGGAATACTTCAACATTCCCAAATTTGATAGAATAGTTCCGTCAGTGTCTCAACATAACAGTCTCCACCAAGAGCAAAGGCCTCTGCAGGAACAGAATCTGCTCCAGGGTGCAAATAATTATTATAATTAGGGTTATTTCAACGGCATACTACAAAACAGTGGTAATGTCGTAAAGAAAAAAAAACCCAACTTAATGAGACAGCAAAACTGGTGTCATTTGTGATTCAGAGACATCGAATCACTTTATTATTAAATTTCAAGCTCGGTTCCTCGGAAAAAACTGTTATAATTTGTCGCCCAATATGATAAATGGTAAATAGTATTTATACAGTGCATATCCTAGCTCGACAACAAACTCTAATCCCTTTACACTATTTCATTACCCGAGCAGACAGTAGAACCCCGAGAAAAATCCTCAGCTTCCCATTAAATGACACAGTGGAACAGCTGATTAAGCGCTCAAATACTAACAAACCGACAAGATCTTTCATTGTAAAACGGTGTTCGGTACATGAGCTGTGACGGGTAGTGAGGAATCGTGCCCTGTGTTTTCTAAACCTTTTTATTCCTAGCTCATGCATTTCCCCATCCCACTCACACGTATATTAAACACATTTTTCAGAACATGTCACTTCGTATTTCTGTCTGTTCACGTGTAAATTAGACTGCCCCTCCCTCCCCTGTTTCTACCTCTGCTTTCTTCCTCTTTGTCTCTCTTCTATCTCTTCTTTCTCTCTCTGTCATTGTTTGTCTCTATGTTTTCATCTATCTTTCTCTCTCCCTTTCTCTCTCTCCTTCCCCCCTCTCTCTCTCTCTCTCATGGACACTACACATACTGGGACATTGTCATGCATTCACATTAGTTAGCGCCTGGTTTCATGAAAACATCTCTCAGTGACAAAAAATAAAAGCGCATGCAGATGTAATGTGTTTTCTGTTATTCAAATTTAAGAAAAACAGACTTGGACAATACTTTGGCAGCTTTTAGCTTTTTTAAGTATTTCAAATCCTGCAATAATTCAGAGCTGCCACATTCAATGTCTAGACTTTCTACAAGGTCTGTTTCTAGCCATAGTTGATTCAATCGACTGCTATAATAATTTTATAACAGTGTAATTCCCTTTGCATTTGTTTCACATTTTAAAATCCCATCTAGGAGTGGTTCATTTAGTTGGAGGAGTGTCTGGGCTGGTAGCCACCATTATGCTCAAACCACGACAGGGCAGGTTTGACGACAAAGCTCAACCCGAGATGGCCAACCCGGCAAATGCTGTTGTGGGGATGTTTATGCTCTGGTGAGGACTGTAAACGTACATTAATATTTAAATGTAGCGGAGACGTAATTTCGATTCGATGTTATTCAACGGTCGCTCTGTCGTCGCTGTTGCTCTTGTTGCTATTGATGTTCTGTTGTTGCTGCTGTTGCTGTTGTTGTTGTTGTTGTTGTTGTTGTTTTTTGTTTGTTTTTGTTTTGATGGTAGTGTTGGTGCTTCTCCGCTCCTTCCCCTCTTCCTCTTCCTCCAGGACGAAGAGAAGGAGGAGAACAAGGGAGAGGAGGAAGAGGAAACAAGGAGGAAGAGAGAGGAGGGGTGGGGGTGATGGAGTAGCCAAAAGAATTTGAAAAACAAATATATCTCAGAAGCTCCTCTGTCAATTACATCATATAATTTTGAGTAACAAAAAAAGAAAATGTCCAAATCGTCCACAAATTTTTCTCTTTTTTTATAGTTCCTGCCTTCAAATGAAAGAAACGAACAAAATCTACGTTTGAAAAAAAAAGACACGTCCATTCCTTGAATTAGCAAAATGTTTTTTTTCCGTTTATTTCATGACCAGGTGGGGATGGCTTGCCTTTAACTGTGGCAGCACTTTTGGCATCTCCAGAGGAAAGTGGAAATTGGCAGCGAAGTGAGTACCTAAATGTGTCCACTCATCTGATGAGATCCGATAAATGAATTGGAAAAAGTAGCAGAGCCAATATTAAAGTTATTGTTATGGGGAGGTAAAAAAGTATTACCTGTGGGAGCATTCACATTGTGTTTACGAGTGGTTGTATTTAAGTAAGTACGAATGTGATGGACGACGTCTCTCTCGCTCTCTCTCTCTCTCTCTCTCTCTCTCTCTCTCTCTCCTCTCTCTCTCTCTCACACACACATACACACACACTCTCTCTCTCTCTCTCTCTCTCTTTCTCCCTCTTTCTCTCTCCTCTCCCTCCCTCCCTCTCCCTGTTTCTCTCTGTCTGTCTGTCTGTCTGTCTGTCTGTCTGTCTGTCTGTCTGTCTGTCTCACTTTCTCTCTCTCTCTCTCTCTCTCTCTCTCTCTCTCTCTCTCTCTCTCTTTCCCTCTCTCTTTCTTTCCCTCTCTCTTTCTTTCTTTCTTTCTTCCTCTTTTAGCTTCTGTATGCACAGCATGTAGTTTGAAGCCCAAACCATTTCGAAGTAGAAGACGTTGAAAAGTGAGTTTGGATATATATTTAAAAAACAGGGGGGGGGGGGGGGGATTCTGGTGTGAGTGGCGACCCCATTATAATCTTATAAATAATAAACCTAATCGCTTACTTCATGGTAATTTCCATACTACTTATCTTGTACGTTCCATTCATTTGAATATAATATCTCCGATACTGGCTACAAAATATAGCCTTTTTTGTTGCACGATCAAGCCATCAATCTCTTCAAGCTCATTTCGTAGTGTGCACATCCATGTGCAGAAAGACTGAAAATGCAGGCAACAGTGAGATATACAATTTTGCATTCGTTTTACGTACCTTTTCAGCACAGTTTTGTCATTCTCTTCCAAAGATATAGTTGCGGTTTTTCTACAATTACAGTAGAAATCTGTTGCTGAAGCACACCAATAAGATGATGATGGGTTGATTTCCTCTCTCCTCAGGACAGCCGTGACGACACTTCTCTCTTCCATGTCTGGTGGGATAGCGGGCACAGCCCTCAGGTAACACAGACAGACAGACAGACAGATAGATAGATAGATAGATAGATAGATAGATAGATAGATAGATAGATAGATAGAGAGAGAGAGAGATAGATAGATAGATAGATAGATAGATAGATAGATAGATAGATAGGGGCTGAAAGAAGAGACAAAGTGTGGGGAAAAAAGGATAGAGCAAGAGAGAAAGAAAGAGTAATTGTCAATTAGGCAGGGCGAATGGAACAGGAAAGAACAGCTTTTCAGAGCTGTTGTCAAACAGGTCATGCGTAGTTCACTCCTATATTGAATAGGACGCTGAATTTAAACAAAAATAACAATAAAGTTATTATAAAAAGAGAGAAACCTAGTTATTTTTGCCCACGTCTTCGACATTTCTGTCACTCCTTCCCCCTTCCTTTCTACAGCAACATCAGCAAACTAACCCGAATGCAAAATGTCAAAATCGCTCTCTTCATTTGCAAGAAAAGCCACGCTTTCCTCAAGTATATTGGATGAAAAACCATTCTACCCCAAAGGCACAGTCTGGTTTACTTCCAACAATGCCCTTGCTTTGACAGTTGAAAATACTATCTATTTCCATTTCCCTTCAAAGGTATAACGTTGTTATTCAATAATCCGGTAGTGACCTACCTTGCAATCAATTTTTTTTTTCAGCCATTCGTTCGCCCAGAGACTATTGTTGGAGAAATCTGTCATCTTCTGATCTTGAAGATATCAATTTTCCCTCTCTTTTTGCTTTCAGCTTCATTGTTCACAAAGGCAAATATGACATCGGATATCTGGTAAATTCCATTCTTGGTGCGCTTGTATCGATCACAGGTAAGCAAAAAACTGCGGACAGAAAAGTAATAATGTATTGTTTGTTTGTTGTGACTGTGGTAGTGTTGGTGAGGCTGACAGTAATATTAGTATGGTGGTGATAGTGGCGGAAATAGGGGTCACGATGATGGTGGTAATAATGATGGTAATGGTGTTGGTGGTGGTGATGGTGGTGGTGACAATGGAAGAGACAATGGTGGGGGTGGTGGTTGTGATGGTGGTGACAATGTTTGTGGTGGTGGTGATGGTGGTGATGTGGGGGATAATAGGGGTGGTGGTGGTGGTAGCAATGGTGGGGGTGTGGTGGTGGCAATTTTTAATTTAGTTAGAGTTTTACAGCACTTGCAACGCAATAAGGTCAGGTAAATGACGAAGATTAGAAATGTTACAAGAGAGTAACAATTTCTAAAACGGAGAAGAAATGAGGACGACAGATGTTTGAAAGAAAAAAGGGAGCAGACCACACCAGAGCATCCGCCAACCACCCAGTATGGTGACAATGATGGTGGTGGTGGTGATGGTGATGGCGGTGGCGGTGGTGATGGTGGTGATGGTGGTGATGGTGGTGATGGTGGTGGTGATGGGGATGATGGCGGTGGTGGTGGTGTAGTGGAGGTGGTATTGACGATGGTGGTGGTAATAGTGGTGAAAGTGTGGTGGAGGTAATGGTTGTGACAAGGGTGGTGGTGGTGACACGGTTGGTTATGAGGATGGTGATAATAGTGATAGTCATAGCGATAGTTGTGGTAATGATAGTGGTAGTGACGATGATAGCAATGATACTCATGAATGATGACAGCACATGTAATGTTGATTTTTATGGTAGTAATAATTGTGGTACCGGTGTTTTTTTTGTGGTGGTGTGAAAGAGGACTAGTGGACGGGGGTGAAGCAATTATGAACTTTTTGATGGTGTTGGTGGCCGTGATAATGGCAATAGTCATTGTTAACCCGCTTGTGTCAGCAATGATATTGATTTTTTGGGAATGATATTGCTGCTGGTGGGGGTGCTGGTTATTAATGGTGTTCTCGCGCAAATATCGTAAAGTAAAGTTCATCATACATTAAGCCGGAAAATAAATACGACCCCAGCAAGACATCACTTCTTGGAAGGGAAATTGTGAAGAAAATTGTCGCTCGCCATGAATATTTGATGGCTAACAGAGTACTTTCACTCCTGGCACAAAAGGCCGTAACGTTGTAAATTATTTCCATATTACCCCCAAGGTTCTTACGTACTCTATGAACTTCTGTGTCTCCTTCTGGCTCTCTGAAAAAAACCCGCCAACAATCTCTTTATTATGACTGTCTGTTGTATTCTTATCTGGTCTCTTGTTTATTTTTCTGTCTGTTTTTTCGCCTTTACATAAGTTTGTTTTCTGTTAATTTATGTAGGATAGTATTTTCTTATGTCAATAGTCAAGTTTTTCTATTCTTTTTACGCTGACGCTGCATATAAATTATCATTAATTCACTCGAATACACACACATACACCCCCCC